CCGCGCCCCGGGGTCCCTCCCCCGTGACACCCCCAAGGTCACGCAGCCCCCCGAGGCCGCGCGGGCCCCGAGCGGTGAAACCCCCCGGGGCACGGGGGCGCCGGCCTGGGCGCGCTGCGGGTGCTGGGAGCCGGCGCCGGGATGGGGCCTCCCCKGTCCCCGGTCTTCGCGTCATTGGTGCTGCTGTGGCCGCTTTGAAGGGCCTGGTTGGGTTGGTTTTGGCGAGGAGCCCCCCAGGCGCGGTGCTAGTCTGCTCTGGGCTGCGCGTCACCGCTGCGGGACTCCCTGGAAGTGCAAGCGTGAGGACAGTAAAATTAATYGTGTTTCTTCCCGCACTGCACCAAGGCGGTGCGGGAAAGGAGTTTGACAGACGTGATTGTAATGGGGAAATTTTGAAAGACTGAGTCCCAAGCGAAACCCCATATGGGCCAGGGAGCAACGACAAGATGGATCTGCTTTGGAAACCGCCCGTGCAGGCTCCGTAGGCACCTGGGGGTGCTGCTGAGTGGGACCCCAGCCTGGGTGGCAGGAGCTGGGCCCGCTCCCTTGCTGCCCGTGCCCAGCAGCACCAGTGCTCCCCGCGCGCTGGGGAGAGGCGCTTTGCCCGGGCACACGCAGCGGCCGAGGCCTCGTCTGCCAAGGCCGTTTGCTAAAGCGCTTCTGAGGAGGGCCTGGCCCTGTCCTGCAGAGAGGCCCCAGCTAAGGCTGAGTGTGGATGAATGACCTTGTGACAAGAGGCCGGGCCACCCGGGCCTCGACACCGCCGAGGCCTCCGTCTGTTCTGATCCGCAGTGGGAATTGGGGAGGGAACAACCTTGCCCTGACTGCCCTTTTCTTGTTTTTGCCCCCAGAAAGGAAGCGGTTTTACCAGAACGTTAGCATCTCGCAAGGAGAAGGTGAGCGGGGCCGCTGGGTGAGCAAGGAGGGGGCAGGGGGAGGTCTTGGTGGAGGGTTTATCCCTGCATGCTGCTTTGGTGGGACAGCGACACACTCGTGTCRCCCAAATAGGGTGTTTGTCCTCAGTGTGCTTTGCCCTTTCCTCGTTCATAGCTGAACTGTGTGGCTGGATTCCAGCRCTGGCTCTGCCTCTGCTCCCTCCGTGGGGTTGTCTGTTGTTCCTTAGTGCGTGCTCCTCTTTAATTCCCCAGGATTTCTACTCTGATTCTCCAGGAGGCTTTGAAATAAACCTGGACCACCGGAAGCTGAAAACGCCGCAGGCCAAGCTCTTCACTGTCCCCAGTGAGGCCTTGGCCATTGCAGTGGCGACCGAGTGGGACTCCCAGAAAGACACTATCAAGTTCTACACCATGCACCTGGTGAGCAGGGCAGGACGGCGGGAGGAGCGGAACGTGGGGCGCTCGGAGCAGACAGATCAAGGGAGCTGGGAGTAAAGGGAGGGAACCCCAAATACTAGGGGCTGAAAAAGGTTTGGTCACAGGCTCCCTGTCACCAGCTGGCGGAGTGGATTCCTGGGCAAGGTTTAGGAACYACTGCATTCTCTGGTGTGAATAAAATGAGGGATTGGCTCTGAAGCGGTCCTTGAGCCCTCTGCTCTTGGTTTGGTGGGTCCGCTCCAGCAGTGTCCAAGGCTGGTGAGAAGATTCCTGTTGCRTGAGCCATGCTCTGAATCCACATTCCCTTCTAGTTGAACTCAGTTCCCTCAGCTTGTGCCAAGTTCCTCTGCTTTTTCTTATCCTTGTACTGTGGAAGCTGTTACTTCCCAGACCTTGAATAACAGTGACTTGTATTGCTTTGTCCCATAGACCACATTGTGCAACACAGCTTTGGACAACCCCACTCAGCGAAACAAAGTGCAGCTGATCTGTGCAGCTGTGAAGTTCCTGGAGACTGACACTATCTGGTAGGAGACCATCAGGGACCCCTCGAGTCCCAAGGCCGGGCTTCCCTTTTGCATGTTTTGTGAAGTTCCAGTGTGGTTTTATTCTGCAATGCCCCAGCTATCGCGTGGAGGAGCCACCCGCCTTGGCAGAGCTGCAGAAGAATGAATGGGATCCCATCGTTGCCTGGGCTGAGAACAGGTAAGAGGTCAAAGATATTTCTGTCTCCTTATGCCCTGTCCTCCTGTGCCTCTAAGCCACTGTGACAACTGGGACTGGTCACGCTGGTCCCAGCACTGTTGTAACGTGTGCAAGGCCGGTAGCTCCAGCGCTTGTGAGCAGAGCCACGGTGCTCACAAGCCCTGTGCTTGTCTGAGGGCCCGTGTGGTCGTTCCAGGTACAACGTGGCAATTGGCTCCTCTACCAGCATCACGGGGCCGAACATCCCCGCCAGCACCAAGGACACCTTCATCAGCCATCTGGCGTCTTACAACATGTGGGCCCTGCAAGGTGAGAGCAGCCGGGCCCTGGGGAGCCCCCAGCTCGGGYTGGGTGAGACAAGGAGACCGTTCCCCTCAAAGTGAGAGGAGACAGACTGCAGTGCATCTCCTTGCCTGCTGCTTTGCTGAGTGTCCTTAGCTTCTACTGCTGAATGAGACCTAAAGGTGAAGAGATGGAGTAATCCATCTGC